ACGAGCCCCGCAACCCTAGAGGCGGATTCGACTGGCTTTCGAGCGAGGGAACCTTTACCTTTACCTTTTTATGTTCTTATGATCATTTGGTAGGATCTCTCCCTGAAACCCTGGAAAGCCACTGCCAGTCTAATAGACAGCACCAACCTTAATGGACCAACAGTCTGATTGAGTATAAGGCAGCTGTATGCGTGTGAGATCTAGCCTGCAGGTAGAGGATAAAAAGTAAGCAAGCAGGAGGAAGGGAGTTCAGGACAAGAGGAGAAGGGAGCAAGCCAGTCTTCATCCAGCAGCATCAGCAAGGATGTTCAGAATTCGGATTTAGCTGACCCAGGAAGGATCATGTAGGATTCCCAGCCAATCATCAATGGCATTAGATCGGGGCCTAAAATAATCCCTGGATTTAGCCATTTCCTCGGGCCTTCTTGGCACATCTGCTACTCTGCAGCAAGCTGCTCATGGTCAAACCCAACAAGGACTTTTATTGAGTGAAGCACTGTTGAGGCAGCTGCTCACAATTTCCACTGTAGCCCTGTGCCAGATTACTGACTGGACTGCAGTTGGGACATGCTACTTAGTCTATCTGCTTATCACACTTTTATCTACCCTTCCTTTAAAGAGGGCAGGGCAGCAAACATCATTCTCTTTTTCTCCATTTTATACTCAAAATACTACCCTATAATGGTAGGTTAGGCTGAAAGACAGTGACTGGCCCATTGTCATCCATGAACTGGATCTAAGATCTAAGATTTCCAGTAGGGCTGCCAAGCCCACAGTAGGTCTTCTGCCACTGGAAATAGCAAGAGAAAATGAATAAGAAAAAGAAGACCTTGTATACATACAGGAAGTTCTTACCATAGAGTTCCTGGCGATTTCTAGAGCCACCTGGAAGTTACAAAGGGTAGCTCTAGGAACTAGAAACCTCTGTGGTAAGAACTTTCTGTAAGTAGATGAGGCCTTTTTCTCCTGGAATGCTGCCACCGCCAACTCTCCTGCAGGTTTCCAGGCCCAGGTGGACAGTCGGGGAACTCTCAAAAATGAAATTTTTGGTTGCCACAGTTTTATACCAATGCCACCTTTGAGCCATTAAGGTTTTGAGAAGGTTTGATTCTGTGTTGGTTTAGAATATTTATGATCATTAATCACAGTGTTTGTTGTTATCGTTTACCCTGGTGTTTCTGTTTTTAGTAATGTTTCACTGTTCTTTTATCACGTTCAGTTTATTGTGTTGTGAGGCAGCTTGTAATATACATAGTGGAAGACTGTAAATACCAGGTAGAGGATCACACTGGGAGGAAAGTGACTCCTCCTCCCCCCCTTTCCCATTGATCTGGAGATAGGGAAGCCTGGTTCCAGTGGAGATTGGCAAGGGGTGGGCATTTGTACAACCAGAGCAAGCTATGGTGTCACAATTAATCTGCTAGCGTAGGGGTCCTCAACCTTTTTGAGCCTGCAAGCACCTTTGGAATTCCGGCACAGCATGATAGCGCAGCCACAAAATGGCTGCCCCAGGAGGTAGAGCCAAAAAAAGTTTGCCTTCGCAGCGTCACAGAATGGTTGCTTTGTGAAGGTAAGAGCCACAAAATGGCCACCACCGGAGGTGGAGCAGCCACTAAATGGTTGCCTTAGCTTACCTTCAGTCACACAAGTGAAGATCCGTGTACGGTGGTGGCCAATGCTCCCTCTAAGCCATGGAGTCTTGTGAGCAAGTATTCTACTTTGTAAGCTACTGGCCTTAAAGTTGTGAGCGAGTGATTTGGCTACTGCATACATTCGTTTGCTCTGGAGCCACCCTTCCTGAGCCAAGACAAAAATGTGTGAGCCGGAGGCTAAAAAGCTGTGAGCTAGCTCACACTCACTCAGCTTAGAGGGAACACTGGTGGCAGCAGCTGCTGCTAATGCAATTTTTTCCAAAAAAAACCCCTGCATTGCAATGCTCCCGCTAAGCTGTGGAGTCCTGTGAGCAAAAATGCTACTTTGTGAGCTACAGGCATTAAAGTTGTGAGCGAGGAGTTTGGCTAGTGCATAAATTAATTTGCTCTGGAGCCCTCCTTCCTGAGCGAAGACAAAAACGTGTGAGCTGGAGGCTTAAAATCTGCGAGTGGGCTCACACTAACTCAGCTTAGAGGGAACCTTGCTGCACTGCCAATCAGATTTCCAGTGGCCACACGTGGCACTGCCCACTTTCTAAAAACACTTGGTGCGTGCCAGAAAAGGTGCTGGGGAGTGTCGTGGGCACCATGTTGGGGACCCATGGGCTAGTGCCTGCCTGCCTTAGTAGCATCAAAGATTTACGTCTTGATTCTGTCCCCCCCCCCTTTTAGGCTAGGAGCAACTCAGTTAAAGATTTTTACATGTGAATACTGCAACAAAGTGTTCAAATTCAAGCACTCCCTTCAGGCCCACTTGAGGATCCACACCAACGAGAAGCCATACAAGTGCTCGTTCTGCAGCTATGCGAGTACCATCAAAGCCAACCTGAACGTCCACCTGCGGAAGCACACGGGGGAGAAATTTGGCTGCGACGACTGCCCTTTCACTTGCCTGAGCAAAGGCCACCTGAAGGTCCACGTGGAGAGAGTCCACAAGAAGATCAAGCAGCACTGCCGCTTCTGCAAGAAGAAGTACTCGGACGTCAAGAATCTGATCAAGCATATCAAGGAAGCCCACGATTTGCTGGACAAAAAAGTGAAGGATGTGTTTGACGAGCTCCGCTTGATGACCCGCGAAGGCAAGAGGCAGCTGCTGTACGACTGCCACATCTGCGAGCGCAAGTTCAAAAACGAACTGGATCGTGACAGGCACATGCTCGTCCATGGAGACGAGAGGCCTTTCGCTTGCGAGCTGTGCGGCCATGGAGCCACCAAGTACCAGGCGCTGGAGCTTCACGTCCGGAAGCATCCCTTTGTGTACGTCTGTTCCGAGTGCTCCAAGAAATTTGTCAGCTCCATCCGGCTCCGCTTGCACATCAAAGAAGCGCACGGGGATTTGCCGGAGTCATCCGTTTTTAACAGTTCCATCAATCAGAGCTTTTGCTTGCTGGAACCAGGTGGGGATATCCAGCAGGAAGCCCTTGGTGAACAGTTGTCTCAGACAGCCGCAGAACTCTCGCTCTTAAACTCCAAGGCCCTTTGTATACCGAAGAAAACTGTTTGCGCCGGTGAATCAGATAGCCATCGTGATAGCTCGGGGGACAATTTAGCTGCCGCTCCTTCAGAGCTTCCAGTTCCAAGTGCTGTAGATCCTCTTTGCCAGCCATCAACCCAATCAGAATCCCAAGATGGGTGCCCACAAAGTGATTCAGGTGTCTTTCTTCTGAGAGGTTCTTCAGAAGAAGAAAAGTCGTCTCTTGGAAAGGAAGAGGAACCCTCTCGTGATCGCTCGATAGATGGAGAGGGTGAAGTGATTCAGCTCCCTGGAGATGAAAGCTCCAGTGTTGACAGGGATACCCAAGATCCCCAGTGCACGCCTGATCCTTTGGAAAATGGCCAATCTTCTGGCCCTCTGGAGCAGGGAGATAACACGTCAGCAACGGAAAAGGTGGACCCCTCAACCCCACTTCCTCTTCTGGAATCGAACGCTGCCACCGGTGAGAATGCTGATTCTCTCACACCATCTTCAGATCATCGAACTGGGGCTGCAGCTTTTATGCAGATTCTGGACAGTTTGCAGAAAAGACAAATGAACACGACCTTGTGCGAGAAGATCAGGAAGGTCTACGGAGACTTGGAATGTGAATACTGTGGTAAGGGATATGCATAACTGGGGGGGGGGGCAATAGAAACTGCCCAGAATTCTAGACTTTGCTCTTCCTAGGGCCAACCATATGGGGCTCTGGGTAGAGAAAACGTCTTCCTGGGTAGAGAAATCATGAGAGAACCAGTATGGTTTAGTGGTTAAGTGTGGCAGACTCTAATCTGGAGAACTGTGTTTGATTTCCTCACTCCTCGTTGTCAGGATCCACAGCAAGACAACGAAGTACACGCTTCTAGGAAGGTTTTACTTTTATTGAAAAGCTATAGATGCAGTAACATGAACACTGTTAGGAATGGCGGGTTACCTGTGCGCATAATAGGATATAGGGCTTTCGTATGCACCCCGCCCACATAGTACCCAATTAGCGCGGGCATTTGGCGGATTGCTAACGGCTGCAGAAGGTGGGAACGTAGGAAGCTTCCCACGATAGCTAGACACACCAACTCCTCCAGTGGCCTTGAGAGAGAAGCGTTACAGGAAAGATGCAATTAAGCGCATGGGAAGGAATGCACATCAATTAGAACCATACACCACACTCATGGCTGCGTAGCTGACACTCGTCCATACAAAGCCTACTGGGTGACCTTGGGCCACTCTCAGTTCTCTCAGAGCTCTCTCAGCCCCACCTACCTCACAAGGTGCCTGTTTTGGGGCGGGGAAGGGAATGTGATTGTAAGCCGCTTTGAGACTCCCTAGGGTGGAGAAAAGCGGGATATAAAACCCAACCTTATTTCTCCTCCCGTGATATTAGACCTCAAAGGCACCTGTTGATGGCCAACAGGTTCAGGACAGACAAAAACCTTTACTTAACGAGTGATGAAATTGTGGCGTTCACTACCCATGGAGGTAGTGATGGCCATGAATGTAGATGGGTTTAAGGGGATTAGATGGATTCACAGAAGATATGTCCATCAATAGAACTGCCATATTCGGAGACTGTGAACTTTTGAATACCAGTGATGGAAGGCAACGCTGGAGTGGGGGAGGTCTTGGCCTCTGTGCCCTGTTCATTGGCCCTTCAGAGTAACCACTTGGCCACTGTGTGAAACAGTCATGAAGGGCTAGCTGGACCACTGGTCTGATCCAGCAGGGCTCTTCTTGTGCTGTTATTCATGCCATCTTGTTAGCCGCCCTGAGCCTTCGGGGAGGGCTGGGTATAAATTTAAAAAATAAATAAATCACGGGAGGAGCCAGAGCAAGGAAAAGAGCTAGGGAAACCACACTGGAGATTCACCGGATCCAGCAGTGGTGGCAGATGTTGAGTTCCTGGAAAGTCCCAGTGTTCATATCCACTCTCCGTCCCCTTTGAGTGTCTACAAATGGTGGAATCTATACATTGGTCTGCAAGAGGAAAGAGCACAGAAATACCATGCGGAGAAGTGTCTTGGAGGAATGTCTTGGCAAACCACTCCAGTTTTTCCCCTCTGACCACAGGATCTCTTTAGTACTCAGCAGCCCTCTCTGCGGCAGCACCAATGCAGTAACTTCATCCGCTTAGTCTTGACGGGCAGTCGCTTGCAGATGGTGGACTTTCCCCACCCTGTTTTTGGTGGGAGGAGCCAGGAATTGAGCCCTGAGCTTTCAGAGTGTATGTCTGTGTTGTATGCTTCCCCATTGCCTCTTTTCATGCATATCTGCATAGTCATAAGGACTGCCCCCCTTAGGTTCTTTCTTTTCAGTGTGAGGTGTGTTATGCCCGGACCCCTCCTCCCTTCGAAGGACAAGCCTGGTCCAGGGCTCTTTTTGTAGCAGGAATTCCTTTGCATATCAGGCAACACCCCCCTAATGTAGCCAATCCTCCAAGAGCTTACAGAGCTCTTCTTACAGGGGCTACTGTAAGCTCTTGGAGGACTGGCTACATTAGGGGTGTGTCGCCTAATATGCAAAGGAGTTCCTGCTACAAAAAGAGCCCCGTGAATAAACAGGCAACACAAGCAACCTTCCTTCTCTTAGCATCTCACAGGGTCACTCATTCAAGACTGTTCACTGGTCTGCAAATAGGTTCAAAATAGGTCCTACAATCACATGGAATGTATGCCATCAGATATTGACCAGAGGCCTGTCTGAAAAAACTTATCCTAAAGTTGGAAGGGTCTGGTTTTTGGCAGTTCCCTTCCCTCTCTAAATCCATCCGTGTCAAAGATTAATTCCTCAGAGGAGACAGTAAAACTAACCCATTCCCCCACCTTCCTGGTTCATTTTGAGAGTTCTGCTGAGGGGAAAAATCCCCGTAAACATAGGTGGAGAGCCTACTTGATTACCCCCTCTCGCATTGTTTCAGTTTCCTGGCTAATCCCCCAACTTACTCGGGAGACTCTCACAACCACTTAGGGTAACAGGTATGTACCCTCTCTTCTCTCCCTCCGAACCGCCACCCCCCATTTTGCCCACACCCTTTCATCATAGCAGTCAGCCCAGTATGCCGCTATTCTGCATACCCGTTCCTATCTCACGATGAATCTCAAGTCTGCTGGCCTCCTCGCTTGCCTCCTCCCTCGGCGGCGGTAGCATGACTGCCGCCGTCTTCCCCCGTGTTGCCCTAGGCAATGATCTGGGGTCACCGGCTCTGCTAGCGACGCCTCCTGATTTAAGTGCTTCCTGAAAATTGCATTTCATCGGGACCATGTCCATTAAGAGCGATTCAATTAGCGAAATGCCTTTCAGAAAGATTTTTCATCAGGAACGCGTTTGTTAAAGGATCACATGTTAAACTGTGCCCCGTTAAGATTGCTCTCTTTTAGGAAATATCAATTAAGGCTGTGGCACGGGAGAGGCGCTTTCTAGCTGCATTTGCAGGGGCCGAGCATATATCCGAAATAATTGTTCTCCACTCCTTGATTTCTATACGCTCTGAAAGGCGTGAAGCGAGTATTGTCCCTTAGGCCCTACTTGTGAAAGCTACCTTCTTGCCTGCTTACAGGAGACCCTGTTTCTGCAACGTCAGTTGCATGTTCTTCGAACCAAGGCAGGGAGGTCTGTTCTGGGACAGCAGCAACCAGAGGCCTGCCTTTGTTGCAAAGCTCCAATCAGAGAACAGGTGATCAGGAACATTATTAGGGTTGAGTCTTATCACACAACCTTAGCTTGCCAGTCCTCTAATTTGGGCAGAGGATCCCTTGCCTCCAGCTCCCTTTACTTTCTGCTGCTCCAAGCAGTTGTGTGGGGTGGGAGGCAGAGTCGTGTATAACATTACGTCACTTGATGGGAAAACCCGGAAGGGACAGAAGGTCGCTCTAGTAATTGCCGAAACTCTATGGTTCCACAATAGAGTTTCTGGCAATTCCTAGAGGTACCCTTTAGCATTTCCAGGTTTTCTCCAAAAAGTGACTTAATGGTGGATGCAAAGTTCTTGCACAAAGAATTGTGATTAAATACGAACTAGTTCCCTGTGACATACACCTCCAAGCTAAGCAGTTTAATCAGTTAGTGTCACCCCATCTTTACTAAACAGGATTCCATCCTTACTAAACAGGATTCTAAGCCTGGCTTAAACCCTGGTTTAGGATCCCTGTTAGTAAAGGGAGGGGGGAACATTGCCTGCTTACAGGAGACCCTGTTTCTGCAACGTCAGTTGCATGTTCTTCGAACCAAGGCAGGGAGGTCTGTTCTGGGACAGCAGCAACCAGAGGCCTGCCTTTGTTGCAAAGCTCCAATCAGAGAACAGGTGATCAGGAACATTATTAGGGTTGAGTCTTATCACACAACCTTAGCTTGCCAGTCCTCTAATTTGGGCAGAGGATCCCTTGCCTCCAGCTCCCTTTACTTTCTGCTGCTCCAAGCAGTTGTGTGGGGTGGGAGGCAGAGTCGTGTATAACATTACGTCACTTGATGGGAAAACCCGGAAGTGACAGAAGGTCGCTCTAGGAATTTCCGAAACTCTATGGTTCCACAATAGAGTTTCTGGCAATTCCTAGAGGTACCCTTTAGCATTTCCAGGTTTTCCCCAAAAAGTGACTTAATGGTGGATGGAAGGTTCTTGCACAAAGAATAGTGATTAAATACTAACTAGTTCCCTGTGACATACACCTCCATGCTAAGCAGTTTAATCAGTTAGTGTCACCCCATCCTTACTAAACAGGATTCTAAGCCTGGCTTCTGCTCTCAATGCAACTATTCTTCCATCACCAAAAACTGCCTTAAAAGACACGTAGTCCAGAAGCACAGTAACATTTTGCTGAAGTGTCCCACCGAGGACTGCGATTATTCCACCCCAGATAAATACAAGCTGCAGGCACACTTGAAAGTTCATACAGAGATGGTAAGTCTGACTTCTGAGCAGTGTGTTCTGTTTAAAGACTGTCTTTGCTGTGTTCTCTGCAGGGAGAGTTTACAAACCGTGAAATATTCCTCCATTGTTCTTGGCCATATGTGCAGATTCCCAATGTCAGCTGGCTCCTAAAATTCTCCAGTTTGTTGTTTCCATTATTACAATGGCATACATTTTTCAGTGGTTTGTGCTCTCTGCCTTGGGTCCTACTTGAAGCCTGACTGCACAGGAATTATACTTACCTTTATTCCTTTAAAACATTTATTATCCACCTTTCTTCCATACGAACCTCAAAGGAGCTTACAATATTATAACTAAATTACATAAAATAAAATACATAAATTCTGGCTAAGTTCTGCTCTGTGTGTGTGTGTGTGCTCAAGACCCTGTGGATGGGAGTGTAGCCTGCTATTTCTGTAAGTTTGATCATTGCTCATTAAAATCTCCTAGTAGTCAATCCTGGATCTTACATATTGTTTCCCTGGAA